TCAATACTGCATTATTTTAAATTACAAAGTTTTGGATAATCGACTTAAGAGTTCTAATTTTAATTTTGTCAAATGTTTGTGCTTTTAGTTCGGCAAGTGAATTATTTGTAATTCTTAATGAGAATAAATATCTAAAACCTAAAAAAAATATTAAGGTCTAGTTCCAAATGTTTGTAAGTTTTCAGTTACGGCAGTATTGTATTAAATGTTCGATGTGCGTTCAATCGTAAATGATACCCAATTTTTACTGGATCATTCAAGTATATATTCCTTCCAATACTCGCGGGAATTTATTATAATATTCCAATATACCACAGGATATTTACTCACGCGAAAATCTTTTCAACCACATTCTAAATAAACGACTTACCTTTGTAAATTTAGAGCAATATTTTGTTTGTTCTAGTATCTTGATGAGTGCGTAGCGATTTCTATGTTTATTATCGCATGCCTCTTACTTGTTATACTGTAATTATTTATATAAAAAAAACAACTATTATAAAGAGCAACACACAAGTTTCTTGCTCGTTCTTCTTGTGATGAATCTGCATTCCGAATGAGTGGTAGAATCAAAATATGACTATTCAAAAGTGCTTGTAATGAGTTTATTTGAATAAAGATTATTTCTATTTCTATTCCTATTTCTATTTCTTATTGGGTACGGGGTATGGAAATCTTATTAATATTACAAACGCGTGAGTATGGATGGATGTTTGTTACTCTTTCACGCAAAAACTACTAAACGGATTTTGATTAAACTTTATACAGTGATATATCTTATACAGCAGAATAACAGAATTGTTACAAATTTCATATAGATGAAACCGCGGGAACAGTTAGTCTGAAATATTTTAACAAATATCTTAGAATCTTCATCTGCTTCTTTCTTATCCTATTTATTTGGGGCATGCGTAATATGTTTTTCATTTCCATTCATCTCTGTTCGCAGTCATCTCGTTATTTGCTCCCTTTCTTACCATATCATTTTTCACACAGTCCATCCATCTCTTTTTCGGTCAACAAATATATTAGAATACAATAATAGAAGTAGACATTGTTAGAGTCGTCTGCGTGTGAATTAGGTGTTATTTTGTAGAAGTCATTTCATATCTTAATGGATTTACAATATTATTTTTAATTCCACTATCATTATCATCTCGTTGCAGTCGCAGTACATCATGAAGATATAATATATAGTTCAAAAACTGATACAAAATGGACTTAACTAAGGTTCTATATTTATTTTCATATATATATGGAATAGTTCGATATGATGCGTTTTTTTTAAGTGTGGAAAAATCTTCAACAATACCGACACCCCGCCGGAGGGATGGCGAGGTGGTGTGTGGGACTCGTACCCACTAAAAAACCACACGGTATACCTCGAGGTGCCGTGGGCCGAAGTCCGGGGTTCGCACTTGGCACTCAACCCAAACTTCGGCGGCTTGGCCTGTCCTGTAGATGTTGCCTCGTGGAGGCGCGTGGGTACACGCGCGCGCCTCCAGGGGCCTGGTTGTGGGGTGGTGCCTCGCTCATGGCATGCATCCCGGCCCCCGTAGGGGGTAGACTCGGGACGGAGTTGGGCTCGTCCCGACGTCTGCGCCTGGTCCTCCGGCGGCGGATCATTGGGGCGGAAGGATCGTACTCCCGGTCCCTCTCCGCCGCCTCCTTCTGCGAAATAACTTCTTCGCAGAAGGTGAGCACATGATGCCTACGGCCACCTTTTACCATCGCACCGCTCGCCATCGACAGGGAATTTATTCCCACATGCTGGAACCTAAGTGGTCTCGGTGCGGTTTCAGAGGAGCTTCCTCCCGCGTACACTTAGGTTGTGGATTGAACTTTCTGCCGAGGTTTTCTCAGGAGACTACAGCATGGGGTTTTTCAAGAAGGGTATATTAAGGTTTCTTAAGGGTCGGTAACGCGCACGTGACACCCCTAGTATTTCAGGTGTCTATAGGCTATGGTAACCATTTACCATCAGATGGGCCGTATGCCTATTTGCCACCGTAGTAATATAAAAAAAAAATAGTTCTTTAAATACTAAGTACAGTGCAGTAGTGTCTAAACTAGGCCAAGCTTGTATCTCAGACATCAATATAATAATAATTTCTAATATATTATTATATGTTTTATATATTTGACGACCTCGGTGGTCCAGCGGTCTAGTACACCGCTTTACGACCGATGGTCGCGGATTCGATTCCTCGCACGGCACAAACATTTGTATTCATGAGTATGATTGTTTGTATCGGTCTGGGTGTTTTCTATATATAATATGTATGTATTTACAAAAAAAAAAAAAAAACTATCTATCTAGTATTTGTATTGATCACCATAGAAAATAGACGAGGAAAAATGTTAGGGCACTTGATACGGCACGATGATTTCATGAAAATTATTATTGAGGGGAAAATAGAAGGAAAGAGGGGGAGGGGAAGACCAAGGAATAGCTACATCAAACAAATTGAGGACAAAATGGGAGTCGTGTCGTATTAAGAATTAAAGAGCATGATGGAAGATCGCGGAAAGTTCCACCGACAAGAGCGTAGCTCTTAAATTATGAATGAATGAATCTAGTACCCATAACACAAGCTTTAGCTAGCTTAACTTGGGTCTAGATGGCGCTGTGTGAATTGTCCTAAGATTATTATTATTATTATTATTTGTTGTTTAAGCTTGAAATTTCAATGATTTTAGTTATTACATATAATAATTATTATCTTAGGACAACTCACACAGCGCCATATAGTTTCAAGCTAAGCAGAGCTTGTGTTATGTGTACTAAACTGATATAAATATGTAAATGCATTGTTTTTTGTAAATACATACATAATATACATAGAAAACTACCAGACTGACACAAATAATTGTACTCCTGAATAAAAAAGGTAATAAACGTCATTCAATCTCAACGTGTTCAATGAAGAATGCGTTGTGCAAATGTTAACGTACATTCTCATGTGACACAGATAAGGAAAGGAAGTCTTTTGGTAAATATTTTTCCATAACAAGCCACCACCGTAGCCTAGTTTAGGTTAGAAATAGAAATAGTAGTAATCTTAATTCAAATAAACTTAATAGAAGCACTTATGAATTGCATAAATTTAATAGAAACTTTGATTAATTATATTTTTTTAATCACTCATTCAGAACGCAAATTCCTCCCAAGGAGAATGAGCAAGAATTTTTCTTGCTGTTGCTCTTTTAAATAAATGTTATTCAAAATTACATTTTTAAGAATTTTGTGTGAATACAAACTTACAAATAGCAAGTTGTCATAAATATAAATGATTAATTACTTAAGTAACAAAATAAGTCAGTCATAGTTATCAGAGCAGACCAGTTTCTACAAGCAGCATCCTTTCAAGTGTATAAAGAGTGAGCTAGCCATCACTGCTCTTAACCATATTTTAGGTTTCCAACCCGACTTGGAAACCAAAAGGTCGTCATTTCACATCTGACCGATACATATAAAGTTTGCGTTTTCATTTATAATTCTAAGTGACTCTCTGGTAATGGAAACATCGGTAACAAACCAAATTATGTCCATCGTGGTAGGCACCAGTGGAGAACGATGAGTGTGAGGGTCAATCTAACTTTTTTCATACTACGTAGATGGTAAACAAACATACGGCAAATCTAATGTGAAACGGTAACCTATAATCATGAAATACCAAAAGTGTCACGTGAATTTTACCCACCCCTAATTAACATTAATATATCCATTTTGAAAATCTCCATGCTGCAATCTCTAGAGAAAACTTCGGCCGGTAACTCATTCCACAAACTGAGTATTCCCGGCAGGAAATTCATCTGAATATACTCTATGTGATATTATTAAAAATTTAAGGTGCTCGGATGAATGGCGATAGTGGGTGGTTAAACGATTGTAGGTAACTGTATTTATTATGGCAAACTTTTTTTTAATGTTAATGCAAAATAATAAATGAATGGCAAAATAACTGACGGTCCACCTGGTGGTAAATGTATATGAACCTGTCTGCTACATATACATATATATCAATAAGAACATCACATTATCATGTGATGCCCGTAATCTAAAACTAATCCGTCGATATAAAGACTAAGATGTAACGCTGCATATCCTATAACTTCACTTCCTTCTCTCTCTCTTACTCCGCAACCGAAAAACAGCTTACAAAGTAAGCTATTTGATGGCTGAAATAGGTGAGACTGATATTAGTCTTATCTCGACGACCTCGGTGGTCTAACGGTTTAACATACCGCTTTAGGTCCGATGGTCGCAGGTTCGATTCCTTGCAGGGCACAAACGTTTGTATTCAGGAGTATGTTTGTTTAACAGTCTGGATGTTTCTGTTTCTATGTATGATATGTATGTATTTACGAAAAAAATATTATGTATCAATTCTCTAGTACCCATAACACAAACGTTAGCTAGCTTAACTTGGGTCTAGATGGAGCTGTGAATTGTCCTGAGATTATAATTCACTTCCTTATATCATTCTAAACACGGTTTACAACGTAAGCTGTTTGACGGCTGAATTAGACGAGATTGACATCAGTCTTATCTGTGGTTAACTACGCCGACTTTTACAAAGACTGTCTCCTTATTTTTTTTTTATTCATTCCATCTTGCGCTATCCACAACCTCCTGTCTTTTCTCCTCTACCCTAGTTTTTTTTTCTCGGACTACTCTAATGCTGTTGGCCGTAGCTGGCCTTTACAGCTTCACCGGACGTTAGGGGGCGAGTGCAGATGGCACTCCAAACCCGCGGAAGGACTTATGGAGCGGCTGAAGGCCAACTCCTGCCCGACGGATACGACTTTAGTCTGAGGGCACCACTAGGGGTTCGAACCTCGGCTCAGGCCATCGTAATTTCGATCCCCGTTTGAATTGGACGGGTGATCGATCGGAGGGGGGAGGATTGCCGCGATAGTATGTGGGTAACATACTATGTATATTGTTTTGTTTAATAATTAAAACAAAATGTAAATCTTATGTTTCTTCTTCACAGGTGATATCAGCTATATCTGTCTTCTTCATCTGCGTTTCGGTGCTCTCATTCTGCCTGAAGACACATCCGGATCTTCGAGTGAACTTTCCAACTGTCGCGCCATTTATAGTGGAGAATACCACAGTGTTGCACAATAACACAAAATATCTCCAAAATACCACAGCAATGGTGGAGACGAGATGGACGGACAACGGAGAGCCTCACGTGTTCTTCTTCTACATTGAGCTCGTTTGTAATGTGTGGTTTACAATCGAGCTTCTAGTCAGATCTGTGGTAAGTTTTTTTATTACATATTTGCGAAATTTTTCACGTTTGTACACACATCGCAGTTTTGTGGTATTTTTTTACATTTTGGTTTCTCCAGATTTCTTAACATTGAATTAGAATAAAATAAAATTAAGATTATTCTAATACAAAGTGTTTATCTAATTGGTATATTGTCTGTAATCAATTAACCGATTTCAAAAAGGGTGGAAATATTTTAGATTGTTATATTTTTTTTGTTTATTTTGTATAATAAATAATTAATAAAACAACATTTTTATATATTACGCAAAACAAATAAAAAACATATTACCCACTTTAAGTAAAAACATACAACATTGTCAAAGACTAAATAATTATAAATATAATAATGATAATAAATTAAATAAACTAATCTACATTCCACTACAAAAGGCTGTTATTTTAGATATATATGCAATAGTGCGTCGCTTCCTAAATGCTACAGCAAAATATATATGAAATCATCACGCATAATAAAAACTAACGAGAGACTAGGCATGTCCCGTCCTCGATATTAATCACTAGCTTAAGCTGTTAAAAAGAGATAATAATAATAAGATTCTGCCCGCATTATACGCCGGTTTCTCTCCCTGGGGCCCTGAACCCCGGCCGACTGTGCTTCTGCCGGGGGTAAGTTGCCATCTCCTCTCCTTAAGAGAGGAGATGAGATTTCTTTTTGAAGTGTAAGAAATAATGCCTGATATAATAATTATAATATTAGTCGTTAAGTATTATATGATCTTAGTGTATTTTATTGTTGTTTTATTAATTTAATTTTTGTTTTACGCTTATTAAAAATAGCGATCTGCATTCCTTCTGCCTGGATATCTAAACTGTAACTGTTCCAAATATACTTCTCAGTCCAAGTAATATTCATAAAAACGGGAACAAAGGTTTTGTATCGCACTTAATATTATGCGATGCAAACAGCCGTTAAGTCTTGACTACAAATACAAGTGCACTCTCTAATATTGTCATTTTGCGTATTCAATCCGAATGTACGACTCAATTCCTGTCGCAACTATGTGATAATCGTAAACCATAGCACGTGAGCTCCAGTTACGAGTTGATGTTAGGTACTGTCGTAACTATGTAACGAACCCAGATGGACCGCTGCAGGTACAACTTGGTAAACTGGGGTGCAGCTTCAAGGGAGGCTTGTGACTGCGGAGCGCCATCCCAGACTATAGCACACCTATTGACTTGTCCTTTGTGCCTAGCATCCTGCACAAAGGAAGACCTAAAAAATGCGACGGAATACGCATGGGTCGTCGCGGCGTTCTGGGTGTTAAAATATATTTAAATATGTGTATTTAGTTGCCATTGAAACGAAAGAAGAAGAAGAAGGAGCTATGTAACACTCAACACTTCATACTCTCACTCTACTATGCAATAAGTTTATTTTGTTTTTATATCTTTCATATTTATTTTATTATAACAATTGATAATCGTTGTCTATATATTTTATGTTATACCTACCCTATTTATATAATTATTTCTGTTATTATCACTGTCTTTTATTATTATTCTTATTAATGATAATCTAATAGGGTTGATTGTGTGCGGTGTCTTACTACAGTTACATGCGCCCTCGTGTATGTCTCTGGGTAGTGTCTGAATATCAGTGTTTGCTGCTTGTATGCTGCAAACAATACACTGAGGTGCTGCCTCTTTGCGTATATGCTACACACACATCCAATGTTACTCACACCTTTTTTTTTAATTTTTAACGTTTGTACCTTTATTGTATTATATTTTGTTGACTGACCAATATAATTGTGTATCTACTTTTAATTATTGTTCTTAATAGCGCCTTGTGTGTGTGTTGTGTGTCTCTGTGTGTGTGTGCCTGTAACGTACATTTTATCTATCTATCTATGTAGACATTGGACACGATCTCCACTGAACTTCTTTCTTTCTAAGATATGTTTCAGTTTGAGTTTTATACGTGGTCCTTCCGTAGATTGAACTGCGTAGGCAATGTCACCTATCTCACACTTACCTATTTCATCTTACAAATATAAATTGTGTTTCGGTTGAAGGGTGATTAACTAATGGTTAACGTACGTTAACCGCTGCAGAGGGGGGGGGGGGGGGCCCTCCTCGGTCTTTTGATGATTTCTCCAGTAGGTAAATTGCCATTCGAGTTAAAAAAATGTTTTTGCAAATCTATAACATTTCCAAAACTAACATTTTTATACGAGCACGTCTAAGTCAGAAAAGCAATGTTCTCTCTAATATTAAATGTGAATTCTTCGGATTCAATTCGCATTATGCATTGTACACGATCTACTCGAGTACTCAACTCAGTTAACAATCGGAAACTCCGCCAAGAATCGTAAACCATCGGACGTGAGCTATCGCACCACTTTCCAAGTCTACACGCTATTGTGAGTCACTTAGGGTTGCCAACTGTATGTGGATAAGGGAAAAGGTATTTGTTAGTAATGCGGACTGATGGACCCATTGCTAGCAATGTACCATGTCAGATTGACCTCCATATACATTGTCCGAGTCCAATAATTGGCTCCTTCGCAGAAGAGAGCTTAAGCTCCATTTGAATGACGCAAATAGTTTTAAGAATGGCAACCCTGGCGACACTTGAGGACTCTGTGAGCGGGCGTTTATTGTACAACTTATTTGCTTTCAGCTTGTCACTTGTACGTACTCCATACCAAAGTTCTGTGCCACAGACATCTAGCGCTTCCCGCGCTTTGTACACATACTAGTTTTAAACCGTGACTTCTATCACGTTCATTTCCATTTCTTATTAGAGACGCCAAAGGCGAGGGCGTAATAAAGCGTGTTAAAGACATATATTTTACGACGTTATTCAACACACTTGATTTTAAATAATCTCAAACTGTGATGCACACTTGTTTTTACGGTTTACTGGCTGGTGCCACGTGGCGGTCGATTCGAAATTTAAAAAGCAAATAGTGCAGTTATGGAATATAACTTCACTATTTGCGTATATAACGCACGCGTGTTATACGACCTGGTTTATATATGGAAAACCGGTAAAGTTAGATCCACTTTACGAGCAAGTATGTATGTTGTAAAATATAATATGTTTATGTATTACAAATGCTTGTAACACCTTGTGTGTTATAAGCAAATTTGTTTCTAAAGCACAAAAGAAGGTGAAAAGATCAGATTTCATCCGCTAACGATATTGTTAAAGTGAACCTGGTACTTCTTTGTATGTTATTTATTGTAATTTATATTATAAGAGGCTCATGTATTTACCTTTCGTTCTTTGATATTTTTTAATTTACTACATGTATATAATAATGAAATGTGATGGAAAATTAAAATTTTAATATATATTAATGTAAACCTATTTATGTAATGAATAATTCATTACATATGTACGTTTTGTATAATAATATATATATAAATTTTATGAGTGAAATATTATTAATAACTTTGGATATTTCACACAACGACGTCTAGTCCCAAGCTAAGTATATCTTGTTTTTTGGTTATTTAACAAGTGGTTTATGATGTACGTGGTATATAGAGGAAGTCTAAACTTCCTTTCTTAAAAAATCAGACGAAATTCTCAAAATGACGGTGAAAATATTATCAAAATCAGTTGCGTCGTTTACAAGGAGTTAGCTGAGTATTAAACAACCGAAAACTTGGAACTAAAATAAACTGTTATTCTTATATCGTTGATCTTTATAATATAATGCACTTTAAACGTAAAATTTAATTTGTTTAGTCATGAGTTAAAAACCAACAGATGTCTGCATTTACATGAATACGGAAGTATATACATATATATGTATAGCATAGAAGTCACAATATATCCGCTTTAATTACATGCAACAAAGAATCCTAAAACACAGCATCAGCACTTTTATCTAACGCAAATAATAACTGCGAATGCCCCAGTTATTTCGCTAAAAGCCAGTCGGAACATGAAGGCAGAAAAAGTGCTATTACCTACACAATAAATTTCCGTAAACACGCTTTATTCAGCTATATTGTTCAGTGAGTGTAAGTGACAAGTAGGTACAACACAAACGAGCACTCTCAAACACAAACACAAACACAAATGTGTATTGTCATTGTGAATGACACGTGGAGTGCAATGCAGCGATACGATGCTGAAAATAGGGGGGCGTATTGCGAAGGAAACGGTCGCCGGTCGACGGACTTTGACGGCCCCGGTGGTTTAGTGGTTTAGCACTTGCTTTCTATGGTCACGGGTTCGATTCTTTACACATTTTGGTATTCATGAGTATGATTGTTTGTAGCGGTTTGGATATTTTTCTATGTATATAATAATATAATAATAATAATTTCAGTAAAATTTACACAGCGCCATTTAGACTATCTAGACTAGATAATTTATACAAATACATAGATTTTTTTTTCAAAATTTTTTGTAAATACATAAAAAATACCCAGACCGATACAAACAGTCATACTCATGAAAATAAATATTTGTGCCGTGCGAGGAATCGAACCCGCGACCGTCGGACATAAAGCGGTGTGCTAAACCACTAGACTACTGGGGTCGTCATATTATATATGTATTTATAAAAAAATGTATCTATGTATTTATATCAGTTATCCAGTACCCATAGCACAAGGTGTGCTTACCTGCGACTAGACGGCTCTGTGTCCACTCAATCATACTAATGAATACAAATGTTTGTACCCTGCAAGGACTTAAACCTGCGACCAAACCCAAATTTTATTAAGATTCATTATTAAAAAATACATACAACTCGTAGCGGGGGGAATAGGGGTTGATCGTAGAAGGAAATTTTCATCCTTCTACGATCAACCCCTATTCCTCGCTATCCCCGCTACGAGTTACTCCCGCTACCAAACACAATTTTACAATAATTTTTTTTTCCTTCCTAACCCAAAATTTTCCATCAACCCCTATTTTTTAATAGCGATTTTAATTTATATACAAAACAACGTTTGCATAGTCGGCTCCTAACTGACTTTTAACTGTAGCAATATTA